GCACCCCTTATCTTCGCCGACTATGAGAAGCGACGCCTTGCTAAGGACGCAGCTCGTCCCACCCGACCCATCCCGGTATCGGACAGACAACTCCGCCCTCGCAAGTAGCTCGGTCTTTTAAGAGGGGGAGTGTGTTACATCTTCGACGCCACACGGGTCCTACCGGACCCGACTTAGGGCTAGAGGGACACATCAGGGCCTAAAGGCCCGACCTTGGGGTACTACAGGCCATAAAGGACTCACCTTGGACCAGACCCGACGGGTAGGCCCAAACGACATTACCGTTTGGGCCTGGCGACTCTCTTGAGGCTGCCGCCCGCCGGTTGGGGCTGAACCGTCCATCTGGACAGTTCAGGGCACGGCCAGGCCTCGCAGCATTGAGGCCGGCCTCTGCCCACCGGTATATAGAACCGGTCCAGACTCAGTCCAGCATCGACCCACCGGTATACGATACGGTGCGGTAAGGTTGGCACCAGAGTGCCGTTGGAGCGCTATGTTTAGCGCAGGAGCGAGGAGCAGGCAGCGCAGCGTTAGCGCAGCAGCAGCGGCGACTGGGTTACCGGCGGCCATAGCCACCTGAGGTACCGGGAGTTGGAGGCTTCTCTCCTCCCTCCCATCGCCAGTCCCCTCTCTCTCCCTCTCCTCCTCGGCTCCCTCCTTCTTCTCCTTCTTCTTCTCCTTCTTCTTCTTCTTCTTCTTCTTCTTCTTCTTCAGATTGGACAGAGATCAGAGTTGGACTTCGGTGGTATGAGACTGTGGTACGTACCAGATTGGAGACTTGGAGATCGTTGGGGTTGATACTTGGCGACATCACAGTTCAGACACCGGTTACATTTGGACTCTGTATCCCCGACATTGGTGACCTATGGTCCTCGACATTTGATCGTGTTGGATGACATTTTGGACTACCATATCGGTGACCTATCAGATTCTATCTCGGTGACTTTCGGTGCTGTCTACCTCCCCCCACCTCTTCGTCTCTCCTCCCCCATTCATCTGTGTATGTGTGTACGGGGCTGAGCATCTTCTATGTATGGCTCAGATCCCACCACCTCACGATTGTATGTGTGTGGAGTGATGCTATGTGAGTCAGTCTATGTGAGTCAGTCTATGTGAGTCAGTCCGTTTATCAGACTTCCGTTGCATATATGCTCATCCTACATTGGTTGATCTTTGGTTCTGCCCATACTCGTTGAAGTATGTAACAATATCTCACATCTACCCCCACTCCTCCTACCCTCCCTTCCTATTGCTTAGTCCCCTATCCCCTACCCTGCCCTACTATTATGGTACATCTACAGCCCCTCTTCTTGCCCTTTTTCCCCCCCCATTCATTCTTTTTCTTTCTATGACATATGCGGCATTTTGGCAAACCCCTCAAATGCGCAGGATGACGGCCTTGATATATCACCAGCTCCAGGTAATTCAAGAATTTCATTCATCTTGTTTCAAGTTCGAGCTCACTTCTGCATTTCAACAGTTCATTCGTGTACCAACTGAGCCAGGCCTGTCGATGTCCTGTTCTTGCCCTGCTCTACTTATCTCTTGAATTTTTTTCCCCTCGATTGTCTGAAAGCCAGTATTTTGATGAGTGAAACTGAGTGGAACAGTGTACTCAGACTGGGAGTGTTTTGCTGTCTGATACATCCAGGACAATCTCAATATGAGTATCACCTCAGTTGTTTGCTTTTTAAGAGAGTTCGTTGTTTGCTGAACCTTGTCACCATTGTCCTCCTCCTCCTCCTCCTCCTGCTCTTCATGCTTGGTCACACAATGGAACTGTCGCTTCTACATCTGTGCACCGCCAACTTTAAATTGACTCGGCTCTTGCCTGTGCAACCTTCCCACCGCCTCTTCCTTCCCTTTTCCTCTTGAATCTTCTATGTCCAACCTCTCCTTCATTTTCCTCGCCGATGATGCTCTGCAGGTATGAAAGAGTCCTGAATGGAGTTGTTATCTCCATGGATGTCCACAGTCTCAATGAGCTGGTCAGCAAGTTCAGAAACAATATCGAGTATGTTGAGGTGGACGGGACAGCGAGGATTGCTGCTGTCCAGCTGAATCCCCCTTGGCAGCTGGATCGAATTGACAGTCTCCCAGGAGGTGAAAGACTTGATGGAAAGTACACCTATAATCCATTTGGAGGAGCCAATGTAAACATTTATGTTCTTGATACGGTGAGTTATTCTTTCCATCTCTTTATTGCAATAAAAATTGTTTGCAGGCAACCAGCAGTTGTAAACGCCCTATAAATCGGCAGCTCCTTTATCCCATCCTCTTCAGCTTGTTAAATCACCACTTTCTTTTCGACCTTCCCAATCTTTCCCTCTCGCCAAGTGGCCTTCTGCCACACGGAGTAAGGGATGATCTGTCGAGGAGAAGCAGCTTCACAGAGCGATAATGATGATAGAAAGGAGGTAGGGTGAGCGCGGGGTGAAGACAAGGAGAACGAGGGTGAGGATGACAGTCAGGACAGGAGTGAAGTTAAGTGGCACTGACCAAGAGCTGGGGACAATGAAAGGTGACAGTCTATATCAATTTATAAAACCAAAAGAAACTAAGTGAAAGCCACAAACTTACAAACAATGAAAGGTGACAGTCTATATCAATTTATAAAACCAAAAGAAACTAAGTGAAAGCCACAAACTTACAAATTGATAAAACCAAAAGAAACTAAGTGAAAAACACAAACTTACAAAGCTACAAAGTTCCGCGGTGCAAACCAACCAACAATTAGATAGTCTTTGGGTCGTAGTTTTCAGTTAAGGCGAAGTTATAGGGTCAATAATCATGCTGAAGGGTCCTAGGGGTGTGTCAAGAGATCCTCAGGTCAATAGCTTTGGGGCACAGAGTTTAGACTGACTCCCCAGGGCCTGGAAACGTGGGCCCAGGCAAGTCAACAGTCAGACTCTAGTGGACCAAGCAGTCTCAGCCGACCAACGCTAGAGATTTCTCCAGGGATTGACTTCGGCTGCAGTTCACACAAAAATTAAAAGGCTCAGAGAGTGTTTCTGGATGCATCCTGAGCCTACTGGGTCCAGGCAACCTGAGACCACGGGAAAACCTCAGCTGCTCAGAAAATTGAATCTTAGCCCTCTGTGTGCATGATTGGGAGGCATGCCAGGATTGTTGCCTTCCCCAGCCACATTTTTGGTCACATTGCTGCGGGAGCTGCTTGAGCGCTACTGAGCGTTATTGGCCAGCACTAGAGAGGAGGGAAGCACCAGCATCTGAGAGAGAGTCTCAGAGTGGTAGCCATAGGTAGGTGGGCGAAGGCGAGGAATATGCCATAGCCGCATGCACGCACACACACACACACACACACACACACACAC